ATCAACCCCAAATGGATCAAAGACCTAAATATCAGAACTGAAACTCTGAAGTTGCTACAGGAAGGAGCAGGAAACACTCTGGAACAAATAGGTATAGGCAAGGACTTCCTCAATAGAATCCCAGCAGCTTAGCAACTAAGAGAAAGGATGGACAAATGGGACTTCATAAAATTAAAAAGCTTCTGCACAACAAAAGAAATGGTCTCCAAAATGAAGAGACCACCCCCAGAGTGGAAGAAAGTGTTTGCCACCATACATCAGACAAGGGACTGATAACCAGAATATACAGGGAACTTAAGAAACTAAACTCTCCTAAAATTAATGAACCAATTAAAAAATGGGCAACTGAACTTAATAGAACCTTTTCAAAAGAAGAAATTCAAATGGCAAAAACACACATGAAAAAATGCTCACCATCTCTAGCCATAAAGGAAATGCAAATCAAAACCACACTAAAATTCTACCTCACCCATTAGAATAGCCATCATCAAAAACACCACCAACAACAGGCGTTGGCGAGGATGTGGGGAAAAAGGAACCCTAATCCACTGCTGGTGAGAATGCAAGCTGGTAAAACTACTCTGGAAAAAAATTTGGAGACTCCTTAAAAACCTAAACATAAACCTGCCATATGATCCAGCAATTCCACTCCTGGGGACATACCCAAAGAAATACAACACAGATTACTCCAGAGGCACCTGCACACTCATGTTTATTGCAATGCTATTCACAGTACCCAAGTTATGGGAACAACCAAGATGCCCCACTACTGATGAATGGATCAAGAAAATGTGGTACTTGAACACAATGGAATTTTACTCAGCCATGAAGAAGAATGAAATCTTGTCATTTGCAGGTAAATGGATGGAACTAGAGAACATCATTCTGAGTGAGGTCAGCCAAGCTCAGAAGACCAAAAATCATACGTTCTTCCTCATACGCAGACTTTAGATCTAGGGCAAATGCAGCATGTGGTTGGACTGGGATCACATGACAAGGGGAGAGCACATTTCGGTGATATAGAAATAAGTAGACAACCCAAAACATGAAAGCATTTGATGTCCCCACTCTAGAGGAACTAATACAGAAACCTTAAAGCGACAGAGGTTATCATGAGAAGGGGATCAGTAACCAGGATAAAGATCAGTTAGAGATGAATCAACATGGGTCATAACACGTGTACATGAAAGCAATGCTAGGAATATTTCTTTATAGCTATCCTCAACTCAACTAGCAAAAACGCTTTGTCTTCCTTATTAGGCTTGTCTCTTTTCTTCAACAAAACTAGTGATAAAGGCAGAACAGGTCCTGCCTGGAACTGAGGGGGAAGGAGGGAGAGGATGGGGGAGGGGGCAGGGGGGAGAAATGACCCAAATAATGTATGCACATGTGAATAAAATAATAATAATAAACAATCACTATTAATCTGAAATAAATTTAGATTAAATACAAGGCATCCTGCATTTTTATTTACTAAATATGGCAACCCTAATTCAACCTTTATGTCTTGAACTTAATTGAATTTGTTTGCTTCTGTTCTCTGCTGATTAGACTCCAAGAATGGAATTAAACTATTTTGGTAGTTTTTAACTACCCCTTGTTAAAATGAAGAACATACAAGCCATGATCTCCTTGACCTTCAAACAGATATAAAGAAACCCCAGACATACACAATTCTGCAGTAATGCAGAGAACAGAAATATTTGGAGGGCCCAGCGAAGTCCATTATGTTGAATTTTGCTAAAAGAAGAAAAACTAAAAGAATAGGGTTTCAGCTGTCTCTAATGACATGGCCAGATGATGCCACAAAATCTTGGCATCACTGATAAGTACACACTGTACTGGAAAATCAATAGTTTCTGAAGGGGATCCTGAAGGGAACTTTCCATTATTGAGACTAGAAATAACTTAGCCCCGCACTCATAAATTCTTGGAGCTTAGGGTGCTCCATGTCCCCAAGCAAGAAAGCATGGGCCTCCTCCTAGCATCAGAAACTGGCTAGTTGGAATTATTGCTTTTAAAAATTACTGAGGGTTTCTAGCTTTTAAACTTCATTTTTAACTATTTCAAATGCCAGTGAATTGAGTTGGGAAAGTAAATTTAAACACGGGTAGCCCTCCACTTCAAGGAACACCGCTATGCAAAAAAGATAAACATGGGTAAGCAGATAAAATTACAGAGGTGGTTATCCACATTAAATAATAATTCAGTACAACACTCCATTAAATATTAGATTCAGTTCTAAAAACAATTGTTCCCTTGCAAAGAATTCCGAAACAACTTTTTTCTTTCTTTTTTTTTTTTTCTTTTGTGGTACTGGGAATTGAATATAGGCCCTTATACTGCTAGGCAAGTGCTTTCCTCTACCACCTCAGCTATGTCCAGTCCCTTAAACAGCTTGAGTATTAATTCCTCCTATTATTCTATAGAGAAGTATTGCCTACAGAACTCAATCATCCTTAATACCATTCTTTTGTCCTAAAACATGTAGGTAAATCTTCTCTAAAACTTTTGAATAAAACACATCATTTTACTTTCAATCCATTTGATCTCTTGATACTTTAAATACAAGGACATCAAAAAATGAAATTCACTATTATTTTTACAAATGGAGCCATTTCCTGGAAATAGCCAAGAAGGGTTACTTGGTCTTTTCTTTTAATAAATCTTTATTTGAGAAAAGTTTTAGATTTACAGAAAAACTGTGAAGACCATTCAGAAAATACCCATATTACCAGTACCCAGTTTCCCCTATTGTTCATATCCTACATTAGGAGAGTACGTTTATCACAATTAATGAACCAACATTGAAACATTATTATTTCAAAAATACTTCATTCAGATTCCCTTAGTTTTACCTAGTGTCCTTTTCTGTTCCAGGCTCTCATCCAGGATGTCACATTACATTTAGATATCATATATCCTTGGCTTCTCTTGGCTGTGGCAGTTTTCAAACTTTCCTTGTCTTGACATTTTAAGAAATACTTGTCTGGTATATCACAGAATTCCTCTGAGTTTAAGTTTGTGTTACATGTACCCTGTTGGTGTTGATCTCGATCAACTGGCTGAAGTACGGCTTGTCAGTTTTCTCTACTGTTACACTACTCTTTATTTTCTCCTTTGAAAATTGTGCTCTTTGGAAAACACTATGCATAGCCCAAATTTAAGAGGTGGGGAGTTAATCTCCACCTCCTTGAGGAGGCAGCATCTATGTAGATTATCTGGAATTCTACACAAGGTGTTTGTCTGTTTATCTCATTTATTCATTTAACTATTAATATGAGTGGATGCATGGATATTTTATGCTTTGGGTTATAATCCATGGCAAGTTATTTATTTTGTTGCTCAAGTTGTTTCAGCTTTGTCCATTGGGAGTCTTTTCATTGGCACTTGTGTCCTTTTGAGGTCCGTGTACTCCATCATTTTGGTCTTTTTATTTTTGAGCACATGTGTGTGTGTGTGTGTGTGTGTGTGTGTGTGTGTGTGTGTGTAACTACCACATGCTCCAGCTCCCTCTTGCATATTTCCTTGTCCAGCCCTAGATTTAGGGTCAGCCACTTCTCCAAGAATTCCTGGTTTCCTTTATCAGAGTATAGCATTAGAAGCCAAGTTTAAGGCTCTGCAAGGTAAAACCCATCATGACCTTAACCCACTTCTCCTCCCCATCTTCTTCCTGAATATATTTGCCAGATGACTGAAGGATATTCGTATCAGTGACTTCAAACTTGCTTTTGAGGAAGAAATTACAGTTTCATTTCAGAAGTATTTCATAGTTTTAAATAATTCCTAAAATACTTCATATTTAAGAGTAAGATTTTAATTTCCTTTGTTTCTGCTTTTTGAGAATAAATGTTTGTGTTTTCTTTTTTTTTAATTAAAGGAATTGACTGTTTAGGGAATGAGGTTCCTAAGGAAAGGAGGGGTGGATTACTTCTCTCTGGGCTTTGTTGAGTATGGCCTGGTTAATTCAACCAGAAATGGCAGGGTGTATCTAAGTTAGGAGGAGTTTAATGTGCACTATCCTTATTCAATCCTTGTCTAAAAAGAAGTACGTGATGATCAAAGACATGAGGGATCAGTTGTAGAGGAATGAAAAAGTTGCAACAAAGAGAGAGAATGACACACAAATACCATTATCAAAACAAATAACTACTTCATTATTTTTATGATGTATGTGTGAAGAAAGCTGGCTTTTAATACCAGGAGTGGCTCGCTCTTAGAGCAATGTCAAGCATGCATTCTATCCAACATCAAGGCTTTTCATGACACTAAAACCCACAAGTATGTTCTATAATAGCCTAGGCTTAGCAAATTCTTATGCTACTCGTGTTGAGAAAGACTCCAAAATTACATCAAGAAAAAGCTTTCATTAATAGATAATGTATACCCTCTGCAATTTGAAAAGGTGAGATTACATTAATGCTAGCCAAAAGGATGCTGTCTTCACACACACACACACACACACACACACACACACACACACACACACTACACTCAATTCTTAGATCCTTCAGCTGTTCTTTCTACTTCCTCTTCCAATTCCTGACTACCAATACTTATCCCTCACATAAACAAAACACCCTATTGAATAACAAGACAGTTTCTCAAACAAGTAATGTATATAACACCGATGGTGGAATCATCACCCTAGTGTCACCCATAAAAACCAAGGCCTACTCAGAGCTACCAAAGCCCCGAAGTACAGAGCCATGGGTCTCTACTGATTCTGAAAAATAACTCTGTCTTCTAGGTGACTTAGCACTGCTGAGTTCATACCCAGACAAAAGTATTTGGTACTAGATTCTTTGGGGGATAATTGAGTCAGTCAGAGATGGGCTGACTGAAAGCAGGGCGTTTTCATTTCTTGTGCTCTAGTCTGATTGTTGCTGAAGGCTGGTCTGCTCTGTGTATTGCCTGTGCTTTGTAAGGGACATGGCTTGGGACTCAGAGGACCTCACCCTTAGCCAGCGCAAATACCAAACACAGCAGACACAAATCAGTAGAAAAAAATATCTTCTTTTTATTTACAAAAAAAAATCCAAATATTGGATGCTGTAAACAAAATTCACAATCTGTTCCTGCTAGCACTGATTTAAACATGTCAGTTTTTAAGAGTCCATTTTCCATCAATTCCTTTTCTGCCTATGACACACTACAGTCAAAAATATTCCAAAAGAGTGACCCCAGGTGCAGCTTGCTGTAGTAGGATGCCTCAGAGTAGGCAATGGTTGTGGAGAGGTGGGAGGGAGAACAGCCAGCGGGCAGAGCCTCCTCCATCTGCAAAGGTCTGCAGAAGTTTCACCACATTACCTCCACATCTTCCCACTTTGTACTTTTACCACTTATTTTGTTAGCAAGCTATTATTACAACAAACTATTACATAGAGATTCTTTCTTAGCACTGAAAAGGCTATGCTAAAAGAAAATTTAAAGAAAGATTATATTCAAACAGGTGCTATATATGAAATCACTTTTTTTGGCTTTTTGGTTTCATCTAACACACTTTGTCTTCAACAACAAAAAAGCTTATTTTTGACAGCTGCTGACAGCTTTCAACATAATACACTTCATTTACAAAATAGTTCACAATATTTATTTAACAAGCATTGCACTGGAAACAACTTTATGCACAGTAAAGCAACCAACAATAAGCAAACAGAAAGGGGTGGTAAAAACAGTACGCTCACTTTTCATTTCATTTCCTTCTTGGCTTGGATTACAGATAATTTGCCATCCTTGTACGTTTTTGGACCCCTGTAAAAATAGTACACCCAATACCAAACTGAGCAGGTACTTGATCCCACTTCTGCAAGGGAAAAGTCCATTTTGGTGTAGGAGTTCTTTAAGTAGTTGGATTTACTTTAGGTGAAGTAAACTTTTTAAAAAGGCATTGCCACAGGCTAAAGGTTCCCTGACATGCCAGACTGGACAGGTGAGAAGAGCCTCGAGAAGACAAAACTTCTTCCTGTTTCAAAGTAACAGCACACTAGGGCAGATAAGCACAAAAGCAAACAAATCACAGGCACTAATCAGGAGTTGAGAGCTGTTCTCTTCTCTGACCTATACAAATGGCTCTCTCTTACCAGACATTCAAATTTTTAGGCCACACATCCACAGAGAGAGACACCATGTGTTCAACTACATATGCACAAGACTATAGTACACATAAAATAGAAATAAATTATATAAGTCTTAAAGTAAATGCTGAAAGTTGTGTTGAGTACAGCCTGTTCTATCTGAATGCCAGGTGCTGGCACTTTCAACTAAGCTACCAATCCTGAAATAAGCAAGAAGAGGATGTAAATATTTGAGAAAATAAATGAAAAGTATATTTTCAGATAAGGCTCCTTCAAACAAAAACCTGTGTCATGAATTAACAGCAGGTTGCTGCTATGGCAGAGCCAGAGATTTCCCAACTCTTCAAAATAGTAGACAACTCGTTTGTCAAGAGTTGGGATAAGAAGAAAGCAAATTACCAGCCGCTCCTCTGTTCCCAAGCATTCCTTAGTTTTCTTTTAGAAAAATTCCAAACAGCCAAGCAGGTGGAGCTCTGGTTTCTGACAGTTGAGTGCCAGGATTAATCTGCAAGTTGAATAATGCTTCCTGGGACTTTGCAATTAAGTTTTCAAACCCAGAGCTGGAGTGAAGGAGACTGAGCCAACATGGGAGTGGGAAGAGTTCCCTAGTTCCCTAGAAAACAGTGAGTGGCAGTGCAGGGGCTGTGACAGCTTTGAGGGAATTCACAGGGAAGCTGCTACAGCACACCCATCTGGTTCCTGTTAAGGCTTCAAAGAAAGATGCACAAAAAGTAGTCCAGACAGATCAACCTGGACTTATCCAGCATTGAACATCTGAGAGATGCCCAGATAACAAACAAACAAATTACACTGCCAATTGGAGGATGCTATTTTCTTCTCTGTCCCTCTATTTGATGACAAAACTCTTCTGGGTGGGTCTTCAGAGGACTAGTTAGCAGTTATCCACTATGGTTGATGGGGATTATGTAGTTGTTTCACAACACAAAGGCAAGGTTTTTTATGTGTGTTAGTTTTGTTTTTAAGAAACCTATTTTCAGAGCCCAGAGACTAGAGGGCTGATAGAAGGGGTGGTTTTAGGATTAGCTGTCATCGAACTGAAATAGTAAATGTTAGTTCATTTCACAAGGGTATAAATAGTCTCTTGAAAAAGAGGAAATAAAGTTGGATTTGATTTAATGCAAAGTGATTTAATTTAAAGTACAGTACTAAATACTTAAATGCAGTGTGGCAACCAGATCAAAGATGTTTCATATTGGCATAAATTTATAAAACGTTATATATAATATATATCTCATATATAAACTTTATGCAATTGTGCAAATACTCTTTAAAAAGGGTCATTTCACATTTTACTAAATTCTAGTGGTCCAGAAATGCAGAATGCATTCATTTATAAATTCATTTGAATATTAATAAGTAGTGTTCAGATCACCAGAAATTCTTTTTAGCAGTTAGGGATTTAAGTAGCCTATCATCGATCAACCATCCATGAGATCATACACCATGGCAGCATGCAATTATTTTTTTAATGGGCTCAAACTGTCAACATAGCAGTTCAATATAAAATAAAAGTGTTCTACCAAACACATATTCTCCCGTTTGTGGAATTCTCTGGCTCACAGAAAAAGGAAAAAAAATTCACTAAAAATGTATAATCTCTGCTCTTTCTATCAAATATATTACTTGTTTCCCTCCTTCATTTGCTTTTTTCAGATGTGGGTTTTAATCCATCATTGCAATATGCCCACGTCTCATATATTCCTATTGAAAACATAAAAGCACACAGTTTTTAAACATGTCCTATTTGATACACTATTTTAGATCATAGGTAGTGTGTGTAGAAATGTACATATAATACGTACATATAATACATATAACGTACATTTCTACACACACATAACATACACACACGTAATTATAACAACATCACACCAACAATGTCAACTCTATACAGGTATCTGCTAAGAAAAAATAGGGCATTTCCTCTACCATTCACAAGCTTATGTGTTGTTTTTTTTCTTCTTGAGTCCCTGATAAAATAAAATAATCATTAAACCATAAAATAATCTTCCACTTCAAATTTTTCAGAAAGCAACAGGCACTTTGATGTATATTGGTATGTAACAAATATAGTAACTCTGTATATATTCTACTATATCTCTTGTACTTGGGAATTTTTATCTGTGAAATCTTTGGTCCTTGAGCATAGTTTCTTTGCTACAGCTGTTTTTGCTTGCATTTTCACATTTTAAAAATGCGAGCTATGCACACAGCTGGAATTAATGAATTGTGTCATCCTAAAGTCTGCTGTTTGTTATGAGAACTGTACCAACTTACTACTGTTCATTCGGAGCAAGCCGTTTCTGTTAGCACAACAGGATCATTGCACAGAAAGCACTTGCTATAAGCCTCAGATAGTAATCCCAGTGCTGGGGCTGTTACTGTTCAAACTCCTGAACTGATAAAAAAGGTGGGGTAAGCAACCTTTTTTCTCTCTGTGTTTTCCCTTTTGTGAATTCCATCTTTAAAAGTTTCTCTAGCATTTTTCTCCCCTATGGCAAAGCTATGGGAGCAGTTGCTGCAAACCCATATTGTCATCAAGTATTTTTTTCCCTTGTTATCTTAGGAGAACCTGGTTGCTTTTAATGACAGGTCTCTTTTGTTTCAAGATAGAATCCAATTGGACAAGAGTATAAGGGGACAGTTAAGGAGGGTGATCAGTTTGAGGTCATGCTCCCATACCAATCAAAGATCCATAAGCTTTGTTAAGCTTAAAATCAGGAGCATATCATCATTGCACAAAACATATCCCTAATCAGGGCTGGATCACTCCTTATTTGTTTTCTTTTTCTTTTTTTTTTTTTTCCCTATCTTGTCTGAAATGGCTTCCCCACAGGACATTTAAAAATGATTCTTAATTGCAAGGTAGCCAAGTGGAGTATGTCTGCTGCTGGCATGTGAAAACTGGCTGAACCTGGGCAATGTAGTAGTTGCTAAAGTTGGCATCTGCTACGTATGGGGCTGGCTGGTAATAGCAAGTGACATTAGCCACATTAGGGATGACATTTTGGTCAGCTAGCACCCGGATAGCCAGCATGGTGATAAGGTTTAAAGTCTGTCTTCTTTCATGTCCCATCAGGCACACTGTACTCTCATTCACCACTCCATGAAGGGTCATGAGATAGTCATACTTGCGGTCTTCCAATCCCACGAAGTGGTTCTGCAAATAGGACTCCAGTTTTCTCTGCTGCTCTCCAATGTCTGAGAAGTCGATGAAAAACCTGGAACACATGTACCTCTGGAGGGTCTTGATCTCATCAGATGCAGGCCTAAAGCCCCTCACTAAGAGGTTGCAGTACTTAAGTAGGCCTCCCCCTCTGATCTCCTCTGGGTTCCTGGTGGCAATGATTTTATTACAAAGATGATCAAAGGCTTCATGGAAATCACCATAGACGCTCTCACCGATTATTGTGGGGTGAAATGTTTCAGTCATTGGGTTCTCTGAACATTCGTAAAAGAGGAGAAGAGAGTCTAATTTGATTTGAAAAGAATCTACACTGAATTCAAACTGCCTCCGGAGGGAATCCACGAATTTCAGTTCCACATTTTTGCCACTGTTGTTTGACAAGGATATAAGACTCCATCGGTCAGAGTCATTGCAGACTTTAACCATTTTCTGCACATAAGCTTCCTACAATTTAAAAGATAAAACAAGAAGGTGAGCAAACCTAGAACAGAATAGTAAGTACATCCTCTTCACAGCTGAGAATGATTTTTTCTTTCCCTTTTGTTTTGTCAAGTTGCAGCAAAACACTACCTGCAAGCTTAAACAGTCTTCTGAAAACAGAAAAAAAAAAAATACATTTAACGAGTAGTTTTACCGTCTGGGAAAGAGTCTAGAAGTAATAGTTTGAGGCTTTTGGCAGACATAGCATGGTACTAAGAGGCTCTGTTGTCATGTCTGGCTTTTTAAATGTTATTTTTTGAAAACGGCCTAATAGGCATAATATTCACACACTATCCACATAATATCCATGACACAGAAAGGCATACAGTGCTAAGTTAGTCTGCCTTTCACCCTTGTCCCCAGCCAACCAGTTCCTCTCCCCTGGAGGCAATCAATGTTATTAGTATCTGGTGTGCCCCTCAGGAACACTCCAGAGTTGCAATCAAATATGAACTAAATTGTCTTCAGATAATTTTAACTAATTACATAAAATGCGACTTGATCCAAAATAGGGGCGGGAGTTACTACCACTATATTCCTAACATGTGAATTAACATGGATAACCACCAAATATATCTTTAATGCATGGAGTCAGCTGAATCCAGCTACAAAATCTATTCATATTTTCCAATACAATAAAAATCCCATTGACTCAGTTCTGCTTCTGGCTGCTTTTTTCCCAAAGACTAGATCATCAAATGACTCAAAAGTGATTTATGTTATTTCATTATTCCACTTATCAGAATCTACTCTGGCCAAGACTCCAGCAAGGAAAGTTAAGAGTTAAACCATACGGGGGCGGGGGGGGGGGAAGAGAAGGGAGGGCAAAGGAAGACAGACGCAGGAGAAGAGCTGTGGAACTGAAGCCCCAAGTAAACTGTAACACTCAACATCCTCCACGCACCTTAATGCATTCATGAAAAAAAACAAAATAAGAAAGATAAGCCTTCCCCTGCCCATGACACGAGCAGATAAATGGCATTTATCCAGAGCCCTGCTGTCCTCTCCCTGACACAGCCATGCCTGGCCGGGTTGGGGTCAGGACCCAAACCGTGTCTCCAGTGGCTTTACCTTGAGCGTGAGTGGCGTGATCTTCTCCTTATTCACTCCTTCGGGTAAGAAGTCCAACAGGCAATCCAGCACGACGTCCTTCACAGTCTGAAACTCCTCTTCCCCGCGCAGGTCAGCGCAGAAGATGAGGTCCAGGTCCTTGTAGCCCAGGCCGCTGTCCTGGTGCAGGACGTGGCTGGCGGCCGAGCCATTGAGGCGCACGTCGCGGACGCCAATGCGCTTCTCGGCCAGGCGCCGCCGCACCACCTTCACGATCAGGCTCGGCTGCAGCTCGAGCGTGGGGAAGTTGCCGCGCCCGTGGATCGGGATGGTCTCGCTCAGGATGCCGTCCAGCCGCTGCACTTGCTCCCAGTTCAGCACGTTGCAGTGCGTCGTAGGGCTTTCGCAATAGTCCAAGCAGTGCCCGCCGAAGCTGCCGCCGCCACCAAAGTCACCGCCGCCAAAGTCGCTGCCTAGGGGGATGTAGGGGCTGCCAGCCAGCTCGTCCTCGGCCATGGCAAAGTACCCTTCGCCCTCCGCCATGTAGTGCCCACCGAGCGCCACTTGGCCCTGATCAGTCCTAAAAGAGAAGGGAGAAGGCACACAGTGAGGATGTGTGGTGGCGGAGGGCAGCGACCCATAGGGGGAAGAGGGTGCCTCCTCCCCGGATTGCCCCCGAGCCTGGGAGGGGGGGAGTGCTCCCCAGAAAGGCTCCCTCCCAGGGTCCCCCGCTGTCCCCAGCCGCGCGCCCCGCCACGCAGAGCAGCCCCGCACCAAAAGTATCTCTGATGCATCTGGAAAGCGCAAGCGAGAGTCCCGTCTGTGTCACCTGGAGACGGCCGCCCCTTCTAGGAGCGCAGCGAGCGAGGAACCGCGAGGCGGCAACACTTCCAGGAGCTACGAAAGCACTCCCAGCAGCGGCGGGCTGAGCTACTTCGTCGTTCCCTGACCCGCGCTGCCTGCACTGACCACTCCCGCCCCTCGCCCGCACCCCCGCCCCCGCCCGCGCGACTGTCGCCCCAGCTGAGGTGGTCCCGGAGGTGGCGGCTTGTGCTGCCGCCGCCGCCGCCGCCACACACGCTCCTGTCTCTGGAGCTTTAGCAGTTGTGCTGGGAAATGTCTTCAGTACTTTTTTTATACCGGGCTTCTCCGCGCTTCCGGGGCCCAAGCGCTGAGCGCTCGCCACACCCTCCTCATTTGCATAGGGCGCCGCCCCCACCACCACCCCCCGCCCCCGGGGCACCGGGTGGACAGTCAGCCTGAGCTCGCGCTGCGGACTGACAGCCCCGGACTGCGGGTCGCTGGCTGTATGTATGTGTTACATGTGTGCGTACAGATGTATATTTACATACTTAATTTAGGTACAGCCTCACACACCCCTCCCCCCCTCCCCTAAGTGGGGGCACTAAAAATGTTCCAACAGTGATAGTGGCCATCGAAACTGGATCAGGACTAAAATGACACAGCTGCAAAAACTTCTCAACCATAAAATTCTCGGTTAGAGCGCGTCATTGTAGCGTAACCTGGGGGCTCTAGAGGTTTCCCCAAGACCTCCCTTTCACACTGCGTCCGTGTAGAGCTGGACCGTTGACTTCTTTAATGACCCCCATCCAAGTGCGGACTCTGGAGTGCATTTGCCCACGGTGCGTGAGGGGAAGGGCTTGGTGATAACCGAGAATCGAAACCTTGGGAAGCGCTGGGTAACTCCGGACGAGCCCGAGGAGACGCGTGGGAGGCGCCACGGGCCTCCAGCCAACCTCCCGCTGCTACGCGATAGCGGCTGGAGCTCGGGAGCGCGGCGGAGACAGTGCGCGTGACCGAGCAGACATCCCGAGGCGAGCAGCCAATCGCGAGGTCCGAGCCGGCCCAGCGCGCCCTGGGGAGCGCGCCTCGGGGAGCGCGCGGCCGTCTAGTCACGGAAAGGGTGGCAGTGGCGGCGTGTCTGCGGGAAGAGGAGTAGAGGGGGCGAAGCGCGTCCATCTCTCGCCGTCTGCTAAGGTTTGCCCTTTTCAAGTGAATAAAACTGTCAGGGAAATACGATTTGGCTTCCTACGAGATGTAAAACTACAAGCGTAAAGGTTAGGAAGACTTTCCCCCCTCCAGCTTCCGGGGTTTGGGCAGAGCTCAACCATTGTAATGGCTATCTCCGCGAGCGCGCGCGCCCCCGCCGCGGCGTTTGCTAGAAAGCTCCCGCTTCCTTCCCACATTTATTCCGGCCGTTCGCCGCCTCTTTCAAACTAAAACAGCAGTTTTCGCTTCACTTAGGAGGGAAAGCTGAATACACCCTCCCTCGAGGCCCTGCGCAACTCCGACCATCCTCCTGAAGGACACAAAGGCCGCCCCCACCGAACCCCCAGAACTGGGGGAGCCCGACCTAGACACCAAAACTGCGCGGCTTGGGGTAAGGGCGGGGGGCGGGGGGCGGGGGTGTCACCCGCGTAGCATCCAGCTGCATGACAACGCCGCCCCCTGCCGGCTCCCTAGGCAGCTCTGTCCCAAAATGGAGAAATCAAACCTCTGGCAGAAGCCAGCCTTCCCTTGAACCAGGCCCAAGCGTCCTGCAGGGTGGGTGACAACTACATTGTTCTTAGAAGCCCACCGCCAGCCATCCGCCCCCGAACGCATCCTATCCAGCCATTTCATATGTATACATACACACATGTGTATGTAATTTGACCACCTTTTGTGTGGCAGGCACCAAGATAAGTGCTAACTACGATGCAGGACTAACAGAAATCTAGAAGAACAGTGTTATTTGGACTGACTCTTGAAAAAGAAAAAAGACATTCCTTCAAGAGTTAGGGAAAATTAGAGAAGAACATTATCCACAAGGAAGAAAATCTATGAGGTAGTACCTAGGTTATTACGTAAGACGTGCCACTGGCAGTGCATTAGGGTAAGGCCTGTGAGAGTTCTGAAAACTTACTTTTGGGCCACACTCTGATGGATCTTTGTTTGTTTGTTTTTTAAGCAAAGTCTAGCTATGTAGCATAGGTAAGTCATGATCCTCCTGCCCTAGCCTTCCAAGTGCTGTGATTATAGGCATGAACTACCACACCAGGCCTCTGCTGAACTACCCTGTGTTGTGAGAATTTGTAAGAGACTCGTCCAGCTTTCATAACTCCTACTTTGTGGGGGTCAGGCCTTGAGCTCCACCCATTTGGCTGTGAATGCCCTGTAGTCTTCCTTGCCATGAGTGAGATGCCTGTGGTTTACTAATAACTTTTCATTGGAAGCTGAGACAAGAATTGAAAAATGGAGACATAAAGACTGTTAAAACATTGCCTTTAAAGGATGATATGAATTCTGCACCTTCTGAAAATAAGGCCAAAGGGATTAATCACTTATTAGATACACCACACTGAACAAAGCAAGAATTTAGAATGACTATCATTATTTTGTATTGTATTTTAACCTTCATCAAAAACAGAAAAGAAAACCAAGGCTGGGTGCAGGGGCTCATCCCTATGATCCCTACTACTTGGGAAGCAGTGATTGGGACGGTCATGGATTGGTGTCAACCCAGGCAAAAATTTACCAAGACACCATCTCAACCAATAAGCTGGACATAGTGATTCATATCTATAAGCTAGCTATATGAGAGGAGTAGGTAGTGAGATCGCAGTCCAACGCTGGCCTAATACAAAAGTGAGACCCTATTTGAAAAAATAGCCTAAAGCAAAAAGGGCTGAAGTGTGACTCAAGTGATAGAATGCTTGCCTACCAAAGCAAGGCCCTGAGTTTAAACCACAGTACTACGAAAATCAAACAAACAAAACACTCAATTTCTGAGCTGGTGAGTACCTGTGCATACCTGGATTTTGTCCTGTGGGGCCGGAGTACCCATTTTATTACTAAATAAAGCTTAAGAAATAAGCTTACTAATAAAGCTTAGTAAAGCTTCCAGGTGATCTTAACAAGAGGGCCAGCTACAGTTTGCCCTATACAAACAGCACCCCAGCCTGTCTTCTTGAGGAGAGCCTCCCCTAAGCAGAGAGTTCACTTCTCTGCCCAGCCACTCCCATGGTCTCTCCCAAGAATGGAGGACATGGCTAAGAAGGAAGCAGATCTGGGGAAAAGATGAGATCCAGCAACAATGGGGCAACACCCCATTTCCCCCCAGTTGCCAGAGCTTTGTGGCTGATACTTCCTTAAACTTTTAACAAAGTATTGCCCAACACTGCCAGTCATATCCAGACCCCCCTGCCTCCTGCACCACAACATCTGGGATATCTTACTCTTGGCAGTGCCGTGGTGTGCAATTTAATCTTTGGATTAATATGTACCCGATGCATAGTGACTACTTGTTACATGCAGTTTCCCCTTCTCCCTGTCTTCAAACTGAGATAATATTTACATTCTGAGAAAATATATCCATCCTTAACATGAAATTGCAGATTTGGCAATTGCAAGCATTACTTTCCTTTTTTTCTAGATAACTAAAATAATTATGAAATGAGAAACTCTAAACTTTCCAAACACATTCACAGCCAAGATATTTCTCAACATAGTTAACTCATACATTATGTTTAGATGGACTTGCTTTTTTTTGATGAGGAGCTGACTTTACCTACTGTATCTATTTGGTAAGAAATTTGCTTTTTTAGTATTTAAAAGGTGAGAAAAAAGACCTATGATTTTATGAATCGATAACATTGAAACAATCACAAAACTAAAACAGGGACAGTCTAAATTTAGATTGCTTTGTGGGTAAGCAAAAAATCTTTATCTGAAATTTTTACATTCTTTGAGGAATAAAAACTACTTGTATTTTTATCATTTTTACTATTACATATTAATTGTACAAGATAGGGATTCATTGTGGTAGTTCCATCATGCATATAATATATACTTTGACCATATTCACCTCCTCTATTACTCTTTCATATTCCCTCTCCCTACTTTATCTTTCTTGCAATTTTTAAAAAATGAGTCTCATTATAACCTTTTCATACATGCTCGCAATGTACTTATTGATTTCCAAGTTACAGTAATTATCAATCTTCCCTTACCAGAATAAAAAAAAAGTTCAACATTGGTCTTAATAATTGTTATCGTTATGGAGTTTATTATTACATGCCAGGCAGAGCACTCAATATCTTAGATACATATTTCTTTTAAACTTTTCTCCCCAAACCAGAACTTTACATATCATATCCTCATTTTCAAGATTGAAAAAATAAGGCATGAGCTTATTTTTGAAAGGCATGGTAGAGCCTTGGTTGTGCGGGTCCCTTTCTTTCTGGAAGTTTCTTATACTCTATGAGTTAGCTCCCTCTCTGTCTTCTCATATCCCTTTTGGACTTCATATTGAACCAGAACTCCAATCTAATTCTTTCAAAGTTCTGGACATTCAGGTTGACATATTTTGGGGAACTACGCTAGGTGTTTTATTCTGACACAACTGTTAAGGGCCTGAATGCCCAATGACCTAAATGGGTTGATGGGAGCATCTTACTCCTTCAGTGGTTGACTCCTGAGGCAGTGGAGAGCTAACAAGCTAGCAGCCTCATGGAGAGTTTGCAGGAAACCCACACACAGAGAATCACAGCGGGAGGCTTGGAGAATGGCCCAAGTATACTTAGCAGTGGTGCCATTTTTTACTTCTTGTTCTCTGTGCTTGCTATCCTCTCAAAATTGGTTTCAAAAGATAAGAAGTAAACAGATATGAAATTATTTCCCCAACCTCATGCCCAGAAGGAAAGAGAAAAAAGTCCAGAAAACTGCTGTGTTAAGTCTGTAACTTCCTTCTTTTCACAGTCATCTACCCAGCTTCTCTCCCAAGGTCATATCCTTCTCTTGGTCTTCACACACCACCTTCTCTAAGCTCTCCCATTGCTTCTACTTTTTGATCTTTCACACAATAAGTGACATGCTAGCACCATTCAGTGCAGAGTGCTAGCAATGTAAGGGATGTGAGCCCATTCCCCCATTTGCTTCCTTCATAAAGTAAATCTGAGTAGT